CTAATATGCTTTTCAGAGAATGTCAACATTCACGTAGTCGCTTGGTGTATGTCCGAAATATTTGCTAAATACCCTTATTTCTGACTCTCACCGGTGAATGTCAACAATCACATAGTCACTTTGGTGAATGTCCGAAATATTTGTTATATCCAATTTTATATTAATTTATTCGTTAAATTATTATATTTATTTGATATATTTATTTTTATTCTATATTTTTATACTTACTGACGATAGATCAAAAGAAACATCAGTGTTTGGAGTATGGGGCAAATGTATACCGGGCAATGGCACTTGACCTTCAAAAAACATCAGTGTAGGGTATAACGGACAAATGTATAGCGAGCAGTGGCACTTAACCTTAAGAAAACATCAGTGTAGGGTATACCTGGCAAATGTATACCGGGCAGTGGCACTTAACCTTAAAAATCATCAATGTAGGGTATACCGGGAAGTGGCACTTAACCTTGAAAAAACATCAGTGTAGGGTATAAAGGGGAAATGTATACCGGGCAGTTGCATTTAACCTTAAAAAAAAAACCGTGAAGGGTTAAAATATCGAATAAATGTAATTATATCCACGAATAAATTCATATCAAATCGAATATAATAAATATTTCGGACATTCACCAAAGCATATCTGTGATTGTCGACATATATCGGTGAGGGTCCGAATGTACAAGAATGTAATGAAATATTCGATCTTTCACCGACGTATTTGTTGTTTGTTGCCGTGACATATATATATATATATATATTATATAAATTGTTTTTAAATATTTTAAGATAAGTCAGTATATTTATAATTTTTTCTAATTATATATTTTTCCTGTTTCACATATTTTAAGTATTTAGTCTAAAGGTACGAATAATTCTTTTATTAGATCGAAATTTAAAACCTTCACTTTCTATATTCGTACGCAAGATGTTCATTAAATGTAATAGTAATTGAATGAAAAGTTTATTAAATAAACATTACCATCCTTTAAACCTTTCTGTAATGTTTGTCAACAACATCAATGTAATTCATCAATCATCAAAATAAATAAATAAGTAAATTGATAAGAAAAAAAAAAGGAAAAACGACAAAACGATTCCAAGTACTGTAAATGAAAAGTACTATATGCTAAAACTTGAATCGTGAGCATTTATTTATTTATTTAATTTTCGAAAAGTATGTAAATGTAATATATTAAGACATCATTTTTTGGCATCAGTATTTTTTGAAAGTATCAAAAATTCGAGTAACATAAGCAATTTCCACTTTTCTAAGTCAAATAAGTTAATAAATTATGAGATAATCATTCAGGAAAAAAAAATATTTCGTTACATCTATCAATATGTTATTAGCCCTAATTCTTATTCACGCAACGCACTTTTTGACACATAATAAAATTGGCTAACACGAAGAAACTTTTTCTGTAAAAACCTTAATTTTTCAGAATGTATTTTGTTTAACCTTCACTTTTAAAGGTCAAATATGTTTCATTGATCCAAATAGTTCTTGTTTTTTGCCATATGTTTCAATAATTTTTTGCTTGCATGAAAGATAATAAGAATTAAAACTTTTTTTCTATCCCACTATGATAAAACAATTCGATGCAATGCCGTTTGAATTAGTTCCAAAAGAGATTAACCAGGAAAAATTTTAAATATTAATATCAAATACAATTTTTATTACAGATTAAAATTTTGAAAAAAAGTAATATTTTCTTAATTATATCATATTTTAATATATATATAAAAATTGGTTTGAACTTTTCAAGTATTTTTTGACAAAAAATAAACTTAAATTCATTTAGTTTTAAAAAGGAAAAAAATCAATAAATAAAATAATATATGTATGTATGTCAGTTTAGAATTATTTTTAGATAGACGAATTTTATAATTATATTAAAAATATAGTTAAAACATAGAAAATAATATAATAAAGATTAATGAAAAGTGAAGAAGAAAAAATTATTAGAATAAAATATTTCTAAAAATATTCATTTAAAAAAAATAAAAAAATCTGGAAAACAAAATATTGAAAAGATATAATATCTTCATCAGCTCACACGATTATATCCGCATAAAGGAGTGCTTTCTAATATTGTATTAATATAGTCAGAGCAAAGCACCCGAAAAAAATTGAAACGAAAGCAGAAGATATTAAATAAAATACATACGAAATAAAACATATTAAACAAAATATAGAAAATGAAATGTTAGAAAAATACAGAATAAAATAAAAAATCTATAAGGCGAATAGCGAATTCAAATGAACTTACATGCTCCGAAATCTTTCAAGAATGATTTAAAATATTTTCGTAATATGTTTGCCAGATTACAAAATATGAAAATAGAAGTGTAAATAGAGAATAGAATCGTAAATAGAGGGATCTTTTATATCGCGTTCTTACTGCAGTACCGTAAACCGGGGCGAGTCTACCCATTTTTTCAGTTTGTCAACTTTCAAGTGGTCAAACTTTTGTAAATATTAAAGAAAAAAGGCTTTTAATAGGTGTTTCGGAATCGCTATTTATCCCTCTTTAAAGCTGTGAAATCGATTTTAGAAAATATTAACAGTTACGCTGTTACTGTATATTTTTATAGAACTGCTGACAAATCTCTCGTA